AGCCACTTTCCAGGGCTCCTCGCAGGCAGCCGACTTACAGGCCTCCGCCGGGAACGCCCTGCCCCTGGCTCCCAGGGCCGCCCCTTGTGGTCCGGTCTTCCCCGGACCTCGCCCAGTCTAGCCCTGAGCCTAGACCCGCAGGCTCTCCAGCCGCGTCACCTGGTTTTAACGCGTTCTGGCTGGGTGACCTTGGTAAAGTACTTAACCTCTTTCTGCCTGACGTTCTTAATCTATAATAAATGGGAGTTGTAATAGTATATAAAGACGTGAGCATTAGGTGAGTTTTTGTTTTGTTAATCCTTACTCAAAGATATTTTTCCATTCATTTTTAGAGAAAGTGGAAGGGAGGGAGGGGGAAAGAGACATCGAGGTGCCTGGTTGGTTGTCCTGGTTGGGATCTACCCCAGGTAAGTGCCCTTAACAGGGAATTGAACCTGCGACCCTTCAGTGCGCCGCGGACGCTCCACCCTCTGAGCAACACCGCGGGGCAGTAGGTGAGCCGCTTCTGCGTCAAGTGCCTGGAGCGGCGCCGGGCTGTAAGCGAGGCCAGCCCCAAACGGAAGGAAGTCCTGAGAGCCCTTTGCGCCTGATGGCACTAGATTTTAAGCCAGAAGTGGCTGCAGTTATTTTGCTGGACTGAGGTATCAGTAAGTCCCCTTTCCACCCCATGGAATGCAAGTTTGATAAAGTTTTAAGTGGAAAAAAAAAAACATCCCTAGCTTCTGACTTAGTTTTTCCATCACTTTCCCTTTCTGTCAACTAACCCAGCAGATAAAGTTAACTAACGAGAAGCAAGAGGACGGTAATCGCTGTGTGCATTTTAAGGCCGGGGGAAGTGATCTTGTATGAAACGTTTGTCAGTTCAGAGTGAACAAAGTGTGTGGGGAAAGTGGTTCTAAAACCACAATGTTTCTGAAAAAAGTAACTACATAGGGAGACATCCACAAGACTGAGTTGGATGCTTCCTTGTTTCTGGGTAGAAAAGACTGTGAATTGAAGAACAGAAATCATGACCCTGGCCCGCACTTGGCAAAGAGGCTGAGCTCAAACTTTAATTCCAAAAGAAGTTCTGGTTCTTGCTTTCGGTAGGAGCTATTGGGGTTGGGCATCTTTAATAAACGTATCTTCCGCCATGAAGATGGCGGACAGGCGCCTCTCTCTGGGACAAAGAAGAGGAGCTGGGAGGTAGGGACCCTGGGGAAGGGGTAGGACGCGGCGGACGGAAGTGAGAGTGGGAGGAGCGAAGGGCAGGCTCTCGAGAGGGAAAAGGCAAATACAGGAGAGGGGGTGTTGGGACAGCAGCGGGATTCCGCGGTGCAAAGTCCTCGTTTCATGTTCCCACGGGCCCCGGCTGGGGAATGTAAGCCCCAAGCACAGGCGTGGCCGTGCCCTTTACGCGCTCGGGACAAAAACCTCCAACTGCCTCGACCCTGGGCTTCGCAGCCCCCGCGCCGGTCGGGGCTTCGCCCAGCAACTAGCCGGAAGCGGAAGCCGCGCGGGACTGGGGCTGGCGCGCCTGCGCGAGCGGGAGTCGGCCGCCATGTTCCGGGTGGTGACGGTGGGGCGTTGACCCGTAGGTCTCCTCTGAGGGCGCAGCGCGGCCCATGGCGCCGGTGTCCAGGTCCCGCTCCTCCGAGGACACCCCGGGCTCCCGGAGACGGCGACGCAGCTCATCGAGGAGCAGCCGTTCCCGCTCTCGCGGCCGCGAGGGCCTCAAGCCTCCGTGGGGGTGGTCGGCCGGCGCTCCTTCCCGCCGCAGCGGCTCCGGGTCTCGAGAGCCGCCCCCCGGGCTCCGCGACGGCTTGTTCTCTCCCACCTCCCGCGGCGGGCACCGCCGTCACCACCAGTACACCGGCGACCGGCGGTGGGCCGACGACGACGCGGTGGGGAAGGAGGAGAGCTGTCGGCAGAGGAGGCTGAAGGGGAGGGAGAGGATCGGGGAGTTGGGAGCCCCCGAGGTGTGGGGGCTGTCTCCAAAGTACCCTGAGCCGGATTCTGATGAACACACCCCTTTTGAAAACGAAGAGGTAAAAACTCAGCGCACCAGCAGTTCAGATTCCAGCTCCGAAGAAAAAGGGGGAAAGAAGATCAGTCGTTCAAAAAGCAAAAAAAAAAGAAAGAAAAAGGCCAAAAGAAAACATAGGAAGTATGATGATGGTAGTGACAGTGATTCAGACTCTGACACGAATTCTAGTTCTGATGATGGGGAAAAGAGAGCCAAAAAAGCCAAGAACAGAAAGAAGAAAAAGAAACACAGAGGGGAGAAAAACAAAAAAAAGAAGATTAAAAAAGAGCCCGCTGACTCCAGCTATAAGGGTTCAGGAGGAACGTTGCCAGAAGATACCTGCATTGAGCACTCAAAGATTGCAGATACCATGGATCTCATAGGTCCAGAAGCACCTGTAATACTCACCTCTCAAGATGAGAAACCTTTGAACTATGGCCATGCTCTGCTCCCAGGTGAAGGTGCAGCTATGGCTGAGTATGTAAAAGCTGGGAAGCGTATCCCACGAAGAGGTGAAATTGGGCTGACAAGTGAAGAGATTGCTTCATTTGAATGCTCGGGTTATGTTATGAGTGGTAGCAGGCATCGCAGAATGGAGGCTGTACGACTGCGTAAAGAGAACCAGATCTATAGTGCGGATGAGAAAAGAGCCCTTGCCTCCTTTAACCAAGAAGAGAGACGGAAGAGAGAGAATAACATTCTGGCCAGTTTCCGAGAGATGGTGTACAGAAAGACAAAAGGGAAAGATGACAAATAGGGACATTTGTTCTACAGGACTTTGAGTAACAATTTTACATGACCAAATAGTATTAAAAGGCTTTACAGTGCTACTGTACCTACTATGTTAGTAAGTCCTTCAAGAAAAAGCTGTTTTTTGAGATCTCTTTAGCAATTTCTTTTTATTTTTAACTTAAAAAGTAATACATGCACATAGCTTTTAAAATATTCAAACACACCCTAGCTGGTTTGGCTCTGTGGCTAGAGTGGCCCACGGACTGAAGTATCCTGGGTTCAATTTCAGCCAAGGGCACGTACTCTGGTTGCAGGCTAGATTCCCAGCCCCAGTTTGGGGTGCGTGCCCGACGCAACCAATCAATGTGTGTCTCTCATACCGACCTTTCTCCCTTCCACTCTGAAAAGCAATGGAAAATATATCCTTGGGTGAGGATTAAAAATATATACATATATATTCAAACACTACAGGAGAGTCAGTAAAATGTGAATCAAGTTCCTGATCCTTCTCCCCAAAGAAACCTCTTTGTGTTCTCTATATCTGTCCATGAGTTCTTTGTACATGTAAGCATATTGTTGCAGCCTGATTGCATTTAACAGACTGAGTTTTAAAAAAATAGATGTACTCACTCATATAATAGATGTGCAGCAGGAGGATGTGTTTCCTGCATGGCTTTAATAGGACTTTGGCTTCTTTATTCTTTATGGGTCATTTTCCTTTTCAGGTTGGTTTCTCTCAAATAAGGTCTGCCAGAGCCCTGAGTTAGGTTATATATTTCCTGGTCCACCTCTAAAGAGAGAAAGAACATTTTTGTGTTGCATTGCAAACGACCCTGAGATTCAGCCCAATTAGATTAGGTCACATGCCCATCATAAAAAGACATTGCTGCCAGGGAAATAGAATGGCCTACTCTTGGAGCTGTAGGGTTGGTCAGCTTATGGGCTACATGGGGAACAAACAGATACCTGAATAAAAATCAGGGTAATATTAGAAATGGGGGATTGGCAACCAAGAAATGCCCACTACAGTTTTGAGTGATTTTTTTAAAAACAGAGTACCTGTGCTGAATGCTAAAATTTTCTTGAAGAAAAGGTTGACTTCGACTTTTAGAAGCCAGATACATGATTGAAGGGGGCATAGGCTTTATCCATAAAAGTAGATATGAAAGAGAAAAGATGAAGGTCCAGAGTGCTTCAGTCTTCCAAAGAGTAGATTAGGTGCCACCTAGACTAGGAAGAGAAAGAAAAGAGAAGGTGTAAAGGAGGAGGCAGTTGGTAGAGCTCATTAAAAGGAGCCCAGATGAAAAGGAAAAACGGCATGGATAAGACAGCATTGGGAGGCTTGCTAGCACCAGTGCTGGAGAAGACTTTAAAATGAGCTTCACTTACAGTCTATGATAAGGTCATTGTTGTCATCCAGTGACATTTACCTGACCCCTGAGCTTTTGTTTGGATAACCAACTTTGTGAGGCTCAAGACCCTGGTAAGCCCCATAGAGCTGAAGGTGAAGGGGTGTTGTTCTAGAATCGGACAAGGAAGAGCTATGTGGAAGGGCACCTTTATCCCAGAGTGTGACTTAATTGGCACTGGACCACACTAGCTTCAGATTTTCCCCAAAGATGGTTGGGGAACACTGTGAAAGACACCTTGTTACATATGTATATTTCCACTGTTAGAAACAAACCATACCACACTATACACATGGATCTACACCTCGCTTTTTTCACTCAACAATGCATGTTGGGGATGTTTGATATTAACGTATATAAATGTACCTCGTTCTTTGTAATGACTTTATAGTATTCTATTGTATAGAAGGACCATATTTTATTGGATGTTTTCAATATTATATGATTACATACTAGTATAGGGAAATCTTTGTGTTGTAAGTGTATTATCTGTAGTATATTCATCTAGAAATATAAGTATTGGGTCAAAAAGAATCCTTTGGGTATCTAAGAATGGCCACATAGAAGTGCAATTATTGGATTAAAAGGAAGATATTTATTAGATATTTTCTATGTGTTTAGGAACTATGGTAGGTATTGGGGATAAACCAAGGGACATCTGAGGCTTGATTCCTGCCATTATAGAATTTTATATTTACTAGGGGACACAGACTTTTAAAAGTTAACAGATGAATAAGTATAAATTGTATTATTCTATGAAGAAAGTAGGAGGCTAGAGACAGTAATAGGGGACATTTTTTGATAGGGTGGTCAGGAAAGGCTAAGACCGTCACATTTCAGCTGTGTGCTTTTAAATTGTAATAGATACTGCAACATTGCCTTCCAAATAAGACCCACCAGTTTACACCCTTACCAATAATGCAGTTCTAAACCTTTTGATATTTGCCAATCTGATAGGTGAAAATGGCATTTCATTTTTGTTTTTGTTTCTTTAAGAGTAAACGTGAGCATCTTTTCCTACAGATATATGTCTTTTGTAATTCTTTTTCATGTATATGGGTACTACCCACATTATAACCCTTGCCCATTTTCCTACTTGGTTGCTGATCTTTTCTTACTGGTCCTAATAACTTGCCAATAATAAATAAGTTATCCCTTTATTACATACCATGCAGATATCCCCCCCCCCTTTTATTTGAGTTTTGAATTGCTTTTTCTGGGAAAACACTTGATCATATTGCCCTTTACAGCCTAAAAAGATTCCCTAACGCTAGCCATACAATTAAATATATTTGTCCTCACTTGGGAAAAAGATGCAGCTAAGAAACTACGGCTTCTAAGTAAGCCAAGGTAAGATTGATGAGTTTCTTTTTCAAAAAGACAGAATACACACAATACAACAAATTATAAGTGTAATCCCTACAGCAATGTTCTCATGACTATTTCGTGCTGTCATTATGCTTAACTTGCTGTTTAATGTTGCTATTAGGAAACTGGCCAGTAAATCTGCCTTAAGAGAGATTTGAAAATTAGAATTTGAAGATCACTTTGTTTCAAGAGAGTTAATAAAAAGAGTTAGAACAATTCAATCTCCAAAATACTTTGACACTTAATTTTACCACTGGGTTTGATGGCTTTTATTTAAATTGGGGAGAAATGGTAAACCATGTGCCTGTGTTTTAATAATGTGAGTGAGCAAAGTGGAAATGCCAGCTGTTTGTGATAACAGTAAACTGAGTTGGCTTGATTTTATATGAATGAAATAAAATTCTGCTTAAAAGTGAAAAAACACCTAAGGTCGCGTCAACAAGTGCGTCCGAGGAGCTAGCCCCAGAGCCCTTGGCGGACGCAGGACACCATCGAGCTGCGGTCCTCCGCGTTCCTAGAGCGGCATTAGAGCAGAGACCAGCGCGCGCTGGGCGGGCGCCGACGCCCGCGGGGCGCAGACGGTCGTGGC